GGATTTCCCAAGCTACACGTACACGTAGACGTACACGGTCATCTGCTTAACACCTCTATTATTTGATTCTTTTTTTTTTTCATTATTTAAATCTTTTATTTTTTTTAATAAAACATACCCTTTTATTTTTCTTAAAAATTATCTAATACTTTTATTATTTATTTTTATCCCATGTTTCCCCTTTATCCCGTGGATATGAATCTTTGGATAATTTTTTCATATTCCACAGGTAAGTGCAGTTGTAACGTCACAATGGTTTTTGCATTAGAGTGATAAAGTAAAATAAAGTGGAGTCCTGTATAAAACAGTGTAAAACCTTGGTTGTGAAGTAATAAACATAGGATAAAAAGAATCTCCCATGATATGTAGTTGGATATGACTTTTATCAAACTCCTTGTGTGTTTTTATAAAAAAACACACAACTCGTTGGATAAAAATCATATCCAACTACAAATCAAGGGAGATCCTATATTTACTTACAACAGATGGACATTCAAAATTGAGAGACCAGGCCTCAAATTGACGACGAACACCAATCAGTCAGATAAAACCTTTCTGATAAAAGAGACAATTTTAAATTTATCATGGGATTCTATTCATTTTTTTTTTTAGATAATGTTATATATTAAGAGAGAAAACTTGTAAAGGATGGTGTTTTGAGGGGTTTTGTGGTTGAACTATTTGCTGAACCAATAATGTTTTATCAATTTTCCTTACCAAATGTACCCAGTTAAAGCTGTACATAATATGTGTTGTAATAAATTGGAAACTAGTATGCGCAAAGTATAATACATTTACAGTATTACAGCCCTACGCATGTGAGTTAAGGCCAGGTATAAACTTTTCTATGCCAATAAGCTAATAAAATCACATTAAAGGAATATTTATTATTCAGAGAAAGTTTTGATTTATTTTCTTATGCATACTAAGTACTCACGATATGTTATAGCCAGTACATATTATGACGTCATATTATAACGTCATTGTTCTTACCTACTAGAGGTAATAAAGCACATCAATTAAACAGCTTCGGAGCAAGGGATTACCCTATTTGGTTTGACATAAAAATTGTATAATGCTAAGAAGAATATTCTATATATTAATAAAACTGCTGCACAAATTCTAGGCATTTTCTCATTTGATCAGAATTTGAGGAAACTTAATCCGGACTGTATATTTTTACCCTGATTCAACTTAAAACTTTACAAATAGAAATTATACAACTGGCCTGTTGATATTTTTGCAGCAATACGAGCAATCTTATAAATATTTTGCTTTTAAATATACCTTGTTTCAGTTAAATAAAATAGAGCATGCCCTTGCGCCAAAGCCTTTTTGTTGATGTCCATTATAATCTTGTGTAGTAAAGAACAATGACGTCATAATGTGTACTGGCTTTCTCATGTCTTGGATACCAAGTATATATAAGACAATAAGTTTTAAATTTCTCTTTGCAATAGATATAGTCCTTAGGCATTTTAATTAGTTTATTTGCATAAAAATGCCTATATCTAGCCTTACTTCACCTACGTAGCACTTAACAATTCAGAAATTACAGGCAAGGTTAAAGTTTTTGTTTCAAAAGTAGGTCAAACTCATAAGGTCAAGGTCAAAGGGTCAATATTGTTGGTACACGAGAGAAGTTCTTGTCAAAAGAAATGAACATTTGGAGCATACAATTACCTGATTTAACCGTTCAATAGATATGTCCAAGATTATTTTTTTTAAGTGGGTCAAACTCCAAGATCAAGGTCAAAATATCAAACATATTTATACCCCAGGAAATGTCTTTTCACACGGAATACACCTGAAAGAAATAAAAGCAATACCTCAAACCAATCAAAAGTTAAGGCAAGATTAAAGTTTTTTTACGGACTTACAGACAAACAGATAAACTGACCAATAGACAGACAGACTGACGGACGGACGGTCAGAGCAAAATATATATGCCCCCTAGTCTTGGATTACGGTTGCATAAAATTAATAATTACACTTGGTGTTAAGTTTTTTTTTTTTTGGAAAGAAGAGATCTGAATGTCAGTTTCCATGAAGAAGTACAAAGATAACAAGACACCACATTGTACATTTTGTCTACATGCTATCTGTGGTTTATTTAAAAACTTGAGGATAAATCTCTTCCCAGAAAACAAATATGCTACATAAAATTTAGAAGATTCCATTCAAGTATTTACATTTTTTACTCACTAGTCTAACACTGCCATTTTTTCAATGATAAAAATATAATGGTGGCAAAAGTTTATTTTCATTTTAAAACAATGAAACATAACGTAATAGAACACTCCTCCGGCTCCAAATAAAACGGAGAATCCTCACAAATAATGGGAAGTTTAAGTCCGTCTTCTCCTGAAAAGCAGTATGTTTTGATGTTACTGGTATTAACTTTTGAAAAGTTATGAGAATTTTTTGAAGTACTTTTATGGAATTCACATTTGATTTACACAACCTGTGGAATATGTTATATGATAACTGTTGTTAATGACCTGATATACTCATCAAATTAGACAATGTTTCCTTAAGTATGTTCAATAGTGTAGAATGTCTTTCTTTTCGAAAGGTAAATAGCATGTGAGAGGTCATAATTATTATCCGGACGACATTTCCATTAATATATCGGATATATTGTATAGAAAAAAAATCCGTCATAATAAAATACATCACAAAGGAATAAAAAAACACTTTTTGCTTCTTTTGTCGTGTCATGATATTAAAAACAAGGTAGGAAAGCACTACGTAATAAATACTATTTTGTTTGAAGAAAAAAATATCGAAAATGAACATCGGGAGTAACATTACTTTAAATAAAGAAAGATCATTCTCTGTAACCTCTCTACCACATTACAAACATCTATGATGAGTAATACTTTGAATAAACCCCCACCCCCACCCCCCAAAGAAACCAAAAAATAAAATAAAATAAAATAAGAAACAGTTACAGTAAATGTATTATATATAAATCAAGTCTAGAGATTTTATATACTCTTTAACTTTTGCTTCTATATAACACCATACAGTAACATGAATTCTATATGCAAGGTATCACATAGATTATTAAATTTCATAAAAAAATTCGTTCAATACCTCACTGATTTTTGCAATGTGTCTTGAAATTCAATATACCCAGAAATTCTATATAACAAACCGAAACTAGGTTAAAATGGGATCTATGGAGCGCTTGCTTATATAACTCATACTCCCATTTTAAAAGAATGTGTATTAAATTTGTTTTAAAACGCTCTGAGCAGGGGTATTTTGAACAAAATACATAATTTTGTCTCCCTGAAATGTAAGTAAGTTATAGACTATTTATTTTTTGTAAAAAAAAAAATCTCTGTTTAGGATGAATTTTTAAGGTCAAGATCTAATAAATGAAAGGTGCCTACAGATTTCTCAAATTTGAGAAATAAATTTCTTTAATGATGCTTTATAATTTTAGCTTGGTTAAAGAAGTTGTTTCGGGGCATAACTTGTGAGTAAATAAGACGAAAAATCATATTTTAAACTGTCATTTTCAATGAAAAATAAAGAAAACCTGTCATGAATACTGGAGTTTTTTCCAAATCAGAGAAATGAAATGTATCCAGATTGCCTACCGTCTCTCAGAAAACGGTAATTTGTATGTTCTTGGCCTCTTTTTAAAAATAATATTAAATTAGATATAAGTATCGGGATTACTTTTCACGTGATTTCAAATTGGATTCCATGAAAATACTTTATTTTCTACATAATTTTATTGGAGCCGTAAAGTACGAGAAAAAGAAAGTTGAAAATGATTATGACGTCATAATGGATCTAGCACCAAAAAGTTAGTCTAAAGTCATTTACTAGATCTTGACCTTAAATGTGTAAAAGCAGTCAAAGCGCTTCATTTCTGTACCATTATATTTCAACATGACTTAAACGACACGTCATCAAATGTTTGTAACATTGATCTTTTGAAAATTGTTTGGTTTTTCTGGAGATGTTGTAAAACCTTGAATAAAAGCAAAATTGCCCTTTTTCATGTATATTGCAAAAGACATCTTTAATATCAAGCAACAAAATTCGGAACTAAAAAAAGCATTCTACTCTCATTTAATGAAAGGCTTTACTGAAGCATATTCCTATGGCAGTAAACATGTATAATTTATTTTTTTTTATTTTCTTAGAATAGGCATATAAAATGATTGCCAAACTGGAAAACATAATTTTATAGGCGACAAAATATTGATAATTTTTGTTTAATGGGTATACATTACAAATCTTTCAAGTAAACATAAAAATTTGATTTATCACTGTATAACCTTAACTAACCCATCAAGTGAACGGGGAAATATTGCAAAACATTATCAATGAAAAATGTACACTCATGAAAGTTTTGTAATTTCAATTTTCATGAGGTATATTTCTACTATATCATTATCATTACTGTCCTTTGGAATCCAACTGCTTAGGAGCGTACACCCTTAAGTTACAAAAGTTACAAAATTCTGGATCTTAGCGATCAGATAAAGTATATGAGGGGTAAACAGAATATTACTTACTCATGTCATAACTTTATTTCAACCGTTTTATTATATTATTACAAAAAATTTAAATGAGGCTGAAACTACAAGGTGATCACTGCTTGAATTTTGACTGCAAGTGTTTTTTATTACCATCTGTTGGGTAAACTGACTTGCCGGGTTCTACCTAAGATAGTTCAGCTCATTTCATCGCCAACTGACCGATTTTATTGATGTGTCTAAGACCATTTGTATAACATATACGTTTTGGGGGACAACAGTTATTTCAAGTACATTTTGGGAAATATTTGAGCACATATTCATTAATATACCCGATAAAGGTGAAAATTATAAGTGGTATAACTTGATCAGAAAGCCAACCAAAAATATTAAATATATGTTTTGTGGTGTCATTTGATATGCTAGGAAATATATTAATACAAATATGTTTCAGCCTATAAGAGTGGTTTTTTGTCTGTAGTCTTTCTATCGGAAAACATGTTTGAACGAAGTACTATTTCTACCTTCTTAGTAGTCCTTAACGTTGTCTCAGGTAGGAGAATATTTTACTTAGATATTTAGAAAACAGTTTCAATCTATGAAATTCTGGGATTAATACTGTTTAATTAAGACGACAATTGTAACATTCTTTAAATTGTGGTCGGAAACTGTTTACCTAGCAACATTAAAAGGTGAGCATCTTCATTTCAAATTATCTTCAGCAATCCAAATAGAGTTTGAAAATGGAAACCTGATTTTTGATTGGACACATACATCAACTTCCAACCACTCCTATGACGTCATAATTACCCGTGACGGAGAAGCTAGCAAAAGAGTTGTTAACAGTAAAATATTCGTCGTCCATGATTTACTTAATTTTTCTTCCGTTTCAATCAGCATTAGAGAAGACAATAACGGGGTATTCAAATTCTACAACAGAACCTTCAAAGGTATCATTATTTTGTATATATAAATTAGAATAAAAGGATTCCTTATTCTTATATGGTTTCTGGCTGCAATTTCAGCTATGCAAATTTTGGTTTAAGGTCTATTCGGAATTGGAGATATACATACCTGTAGCATAATGGAATTTCACATTGTTAAAGTCAATTTCAAGTGAAATTAAATAAATATGTAATACTGTCAGTTTCAACTGATTAATTATATAAGTTTACATAAACATCCTCCGTCATTTTTTTATTTATTTTTTTAAAGCAAAGTTATTATCAGTGAAATAAATATATATTTATGATTGCCTGTTTATACATATGATCTTTCATACTGATCTAAATTAATAACAATAACCGTCATTTTTTCAGTCTATGTATTCTCCACAACAACCAATAAAGACAAATCTGTTTCCTGGAAAATGCCGTACTTTCCAGAAAGTGGACACCTCTCCATTTTTCATAAATATTTGAGCACCGAACTTATATTTCGGATCAGTGACCCAAATGTTTATTACATGAATCAATATAAGTACAAATACTTGTCCAATCCAGTGAATTCTGTGTTTGTTAATTTTACAATTTTCAACTTAACACTCTATGATGCTGGGTTTTATTATGACCGTATACATCTTTCGGATTTCATAGATTCTGGTGCATTTTTACTGGTTTATGGTATGTACTTCTAGACATCTCTTCTTAAATTCTATTCACTTGATTTATTTTTTAAATCTGCAAACAAATTTCAATCCTTTATCTATAAAAGACAAAACATGCTTATAATGAACCATTATAAAGATTTCGTGGTTAAAGGGACGTTAAATCTCATTAAAGTTCAATTATATTACATGTTTATTGGTTTTATATGGATATGAAACAAATCAGATATCAGATATTAAAGTATAAAGCCGCAAAAGATCCTCAAAAGCATGTTTTATAGTTCAAGTAATGCATCACAGTCTCCGTTAAATGTTAATAATACTACAAGTGTAAAAATTATATAATCGTGATATTGTTAAGAATAGCATAATTATACCAGATTACAATAGGCTGAATTGATTTTTGGAATTTATCGCAGGCAAGCCAACAAAACCTACCATTTTTGGCCAAAGAAAGGTGAAAATGGGAGTTTTCACAAACCTAACCTGTTCGAGTAAATCTACGTCAACACCATTTTATTACAAACAATTTCCACCAATGAGATACAGATGGTTCGCGAATAACACAGAAATCAGTGAATTCATAGGAAATGTCTATACATTTAAAGTCACGAACATCCATCGGAATGTGCCATTTACCTGTCAGTCCACAGAGATAGAATCTTCTGAAATAAGCGAGACATTTTCCTTTGAGGTAGTTGGTAAGATCATTGGCATCTTTCCTAAATGCTAACCAAAAAGGTTTAATTTCTGAAACACTTTTTTCTGATCAAAAAAAATATATTTTCTGATCTTATTTACAGGAAATGAAAAAGTTCAAATGGCGACGGAACCTAGAACTGCAATATTGACAACAACAAAAACGTTTTTTGGTAAGGCAACATTCGTTGGATTATTTAATACTATATTCATGTGCTAACATATTTTTTGAATTTATTTTAAGGAAATGAAAAACTTCCGAAGACGACAGAATCTACAACTGCAACATTGACAACAGAGACATTTTTAGGTAAGGCGATAGTCGATTATTTATTTCATAATGCATCCATACAGTAAATTATATTTTTTAACTTATTTTAAGGAAATGAAAAACTTCCAAAGACGACAGGATCAGCAACTGCAATATTGACGACAAAAAAGTTTTCTGGTAAGGCAATAGTCGATGGATTATTGTATAGAAATATGGAGATAACGAATATTCAAGCTCGAAGTCCATTTAAACAATACAAATCGGTAGCAGAGTAAACACGGACCTCCAAAAACATCAGAGGTGGGATCAGGTGCCATGGAGGAGTGAGCATCCGCTGCCGACCAATCACACATGTCCTGTGCTCCTTGTCTTGATCGGGAAAACGGAAACATCGGTAGACAATTCAGTGCATAAATAATGGCCATACAATTAGTATGAAAAAGGTCAATCAGCATTTGACTTAATGATGGGCTGTATTTGCTGACAAGGTCATTGTATCGACCATAAACATTGCTAAATGAAGGCTCCAAATGTGACTGTTGATATCCTTGCTTCATCAACATGTTTGTCAATAGCTTACATCGGTTAAGAAATTGTTCATACGTAGAGCACAAAAAAGTTAGGGATAGTAGTTTTACTACAACATCTTTTTCAACTGGTATATGTTACGACAAAGCTACAGTAGCTAAATAAATGTGCCATTCACCTAGATTTAGTCTCGATTAACACATGCTCGTGTAGTCTTGCGTTGGGTTGCTTTCAAAAAGAATAGTGTTAGCAAATTGACTGGTACTAAAGAAGGCAAGATATCCCAATTCTGTTGCTTGTAGTGACATAAATAATTTCCTTTTGGGGGAAAAGGATTCATGCTGAAACAAACTGAGGCAGCATATGAACTGGAATGAAATCTCAGGGTATTAAAGATGATGGAAGCTGATAAAACACAAAATTACGTTGCAGAGACACTCCATGATTCACAGAGCATCATCAGTCTCTATGGAAGCGGATATTTGCTTATCACCGTAAAATTTGCTTCAAATTATTTTTAAATCTTTGAATAAAATACTTAATACTTAACAAGAATGTAAATAACAAATACATTTTCTATGTTCCCTAACTTTTTTGGTCCAATATAAATTCATACGGTAATTTATACTTTCTGAACTTATTTCAAGGAAAGGAAAATCTTCCAAAGACGAGGGAACCAACAACTGTAGTATTGACAACAACAGAAACGTTTTCTGGTAAGAATTAGTCGTCGGATTATATAATACATTCATACGGAAATAACAGTTTCTGCAGAGGAGCATTGAAGATTAAACAAGCAAAGCACATTGAAATAAAAATAATTGATTTGTTAATTTTTTCATCTGTTCTGTAATATTTTTTGTTAAAGATTTAGAATACCTTAATTCAAAATTTCGAAATTAAATAATCTTTACAAAATTTCACTTGTAATGCTTCATTTCTCTGTACTTTAGATGAAAAACACCTCTGTTTTGATTCCCGTGATAAAATAAACACCGAGATGATGATAGCGTTACCGTTATGCAGCATCATTATCATATTGATATTGTGGATTGTCGTCCCCAAGTTGAAAGGAAGTATGTTTTACGTGATTGCTTAGTGAAACATGTCTCACCTTTCTTGTTGTCAATAGCTTATTTTAAAGTTTGATGATTTAACGCCTATAGTACCTTTTGATCACTACAGATTTATCATTTGTGATGAAGTAGCTCGGATCGCACGTTAAAATTCTGATTGTTGTCAATTTAATGTTTTGAAACGTTCAGATACATGTCCTTACAGTGTTTCATACTTTTGTAATCTGATTAATATATTAATTGGAAGTCCGACTCTTCTCTCCATTTCTGATTCACTTAAATTCTACTGATGTGCTATTTTTGGAAAACATTCAGATGCATGATCATACATATGTTTTCTACTTTTCGAGATAAAAAAAGACAAGAATTTGGAAAGGGAGACACTTAAAAAACGTGTATATATCTGTATAAGACTTAACTTTAAAAACATCAACAACGATGTGTTTGCGGCCATAACTTTGTCATTACAATTCCTTTTGGATTGATTTTCATATTTAAAGTTATATCTAAAACAGTATATTATACATAAGTAGTTGGTTGAGCTATTTATGGATGACCATATAAATTAACTTTTTTCAGTTTCTTAAGATACATATAGGGCAATCACTTTATAAAAACTGATCTGTAATACATGACTGGAAATCTTCGATGAACACTTACATAGAAACTCTAGTGTATAAATATATTCTATTTTTCAGGTAAAATTTGTAAGAAGAGCTTTCACGGCCAATCATTGGGGTCCCAGTATCTCACACCAATAGTAGACTATGACACCTTGCCAGTTATATATAACAAAAATAGAGCGGATCAATACCACGAGATAAATGATGTTACCGTTTTAAATAACACCGACGAATATGGTTACATAGAATTTTAGGACAAGCAATTTATTGATGCATTCACCGGTGTTAAAAAATTCTATTTGCAATGTTGAGCAATATGCTTCAAGAAACATTATTCACCAACATTGATCTTCCTGGATAAAGAGTGACTGCGATTGAACACATTCATCAGTGTAGCTGAAAGAGAATATAATTTGTATAAGTTAAGGAGCAATTTTTTTTTTTTAGATTTCAATATTTGTTTTCGTTCATGACGTTTTTTTGTTACATACAAATAGGTGAATTGTAAAAGCATGTTACATAAAACTTCTTTTTATGAAGAAAATCAAGCACACAAGTATAACACAATACCGAATGCATAGATATTGTACAAGGTTAATAATGAAGAATGATCAGTCTTATAAAGCCAACAGAGAACACGAACTGTTAAAAGCGGGGAAAAACGTGGACCTCTGAAAACACCAGAGTTGGGATCATTTAGGAGGAGTAAGCATGGAATGAATGGAGTAATCCGTAATCATAATTAGTATAAAACAATGACCTAACAATTGGTATAGAACACGTCAATCAGAATACTATTCAACGATAGGTTGTACATTTATTAGCTAACAAGGTCAAAATATCGACCATATAAATACTGGATTGTTAAAAGCCCTGTAGCATCAACTTATATGTCTGTAATTTGAATCAATTTAAAAATTGATTGTATATGCATATCATATCAGTTAAGAGGCATAAACGCAAGTATTATTGATATATTACTACATGAATAAGGACATTGACGAAAGAAAAGATGAAGTCATCTCGTTTGCCATACAATTTATTTGTTAGTTGGCCATTGATATCTATAATTCGTAAAACATCCAAATGTGAAACATATGTAGCTCATAGTGTAGTGCCTTTTAAATCGAGTTTACCGCGATATATCGATCAACTATGAGTAAAATTACCATTGTTACACGTAATTAATAGAACAATTTCAATATATCTAAATGTTGAATTAAAGGCAACGGAAATAGTCTCATTTAGAATTTCTTGTATGAACTCTGCCTTATAAGAATCTAAAAACAAGCTATCAAAGGAGCACAGTTAGTGCAAAACGAATTCCAACGGAAGACTACAAAAATATTAATAAGGAACTACAGCATTTTTTTAACATTAACTTCAGAGTACTCGTGTGTAGAATCAGAAGGATTTTTACAAAGTTATTTTGTAAATGAAGAGGTAAAAATTCGTTTGTTTTGAAAATGTAGATGTTAAAATATTTTATTTTTAATTTTAAATTTTCTTAAAGTTCCTCGGGGTTTTAAGAATCCACATTTCATTTACACCACTTTGAATAAGTTGTATAACAGTTCGTATGAACTTTCTCCTTCACAGCAGATTATATTTTGTTTAGAAGTAAAGATAGTAGCTTTGTTGAACATTTTCTGGTATAAATATCACTATGTAGGATTTTTAAAAACTGAAAACGTGACACAAATACGTGTTTTGACAGTTCCATAAACAATAACTTTTAAAACATTGAATATAAACCTTGACATACTTTTTTTCTCATCTAAAAATTATGCAATTCTTTTTCTGCGAAAAAGAAATGAAAGTAGAACGATTTTGGTTTTCCAATGAGTAGACACGAACAACATTTCTTGCACTGAATACGACATTGATTTAAATTGTTTTTTTCGATCTCTTTTTTCTTTGTACTAATTTCATAATTTTTATATATTTATTGATATTCACATTAAAATTTTTAATTTACGCTAATGTTGTTGCGTTTTAATTAACGTAATATATACATGTATGAAATAATTGTAATAACATTTTAAAGGAAGCTTTATAAATTTTATCGTGCACAAATTCTAAAATAGCTAAGTGCTTTTGATTCCAAAGACGTTCCTAAAGCTGTATGACAAACAGATTTAAAAAATCTGCAAACTCCTTTTTTATCAAAATTTATATATATTTTTTTTAAATTTTGACGTTTTTTCTGTGGCGGCTTTCATTGAATGCTTTCTGGTAAAAACCTCTATTTTGGCGGTCGTCAGGTATTTTTACTGCGACTGTCTGAGTTTCTTATGGCAATCATAAAATAAAAAATTGTTCTGTTCTCAACATAGGGCTTCCTTAAAACTACCTTGAGCATTCAAAATAAGCTAGTCACTTTTATTCATTCCTGATGCAATTTATCAGAAAATATAAAAATCATGGCCACTAAAAATTTTTCTAAAAATGAATAAAAACACCTTCGACTTGAACACTGAGATGATGATAGCTCATGGTTTGTCAAGTTTTATTTTATTTTCATTGATAGTGTCCATTCTAATTCTTAGGCTGAAAGGTCGTAAGTTTTTGCCCACATATAACGTTTGAACATAATTTGTTTTTGTTACGGTAATGGTTCTAATTACAGCGGTATAAGTGGTTCAGTGCAGTACACTGTCTGACCACGGCCAAGATACATTTTCTCATATAGAGGTTTGATTAAGAAACAGAAAAGGAAAAAATCGAATTAATTTCATCATCATTTTAAATTAAATGTGTAGTTATGTATTTATTTGCAGTATTAGTATATGTATACACACAGCTAAGTTTTTTTTAATAGTTCGTGTGAATTGAAACCTGTAAATCAGACCATTTCTGTCAAACTTAATTTCTTCTTATACTTTTACAAGAATTATAGCAGAACTATTTTTTGTAAGAATATTTTCTAAATAGTCTAATAGTCTATCAAAAGATATTTCCCTCTGGAAAACTGTGGTAAAAGGCTAACAGTCAAACTAGTCCATGAGAAATCCTTATGCAATGATGTTTGTCTTAATATGTTCAACTTCGGCAAAATCTAGTTAAGTTAAGAAATCTTAATGCATTAAGCTCTGCGTGTTATGAGGATTAAGTTCAACTGGTACGTTTGAATATCTGTATAAAACTTATCAATACATTCTAAGAGATTTTCTTTAAATCAGCTAATACGAGGGTTGATCCAAAACGCAGGACTGTTAAGGCGTACAACGAAGAAATCAAAGGAATATAAACGTGCATAAATACATACCTTTTTAAACTGAATTTATTTTTGTAAAGCTAGTATATTATCACATGACTTTAATATTAATTGAAATAACATAGTATACCCCGCTCTGTACAGAATTTGGTTTGGTCACGTTATTTGACAGTCACGTGATAAATGCATTCAATGTGTACTGTATGTAGGTCATCAACAAATTTCAATATCGCAAGGGCATACCCTAGTTAGAATTAAAAATTTCAGTAATAAATTGTATCTATATAACTTGTAGTTTATGAAAAGTGCTGCTACTTTAAATAGAATTCGCATTTTATTAGTTTAAATTTCAAGTTATTTGGCTCTAGTCGAAATATGTGTGACCTTTACCATGTATTTTATTTATTTATTTAGTAATGCTCCCGATTTCAGGAAAGCAGCAGCACTTTTCAAGTTAAGGAATGTTTCCGTTATGCATATTTAAAAAATGGTCAAGATCTATTAAGTGTATGCCCTTGCGAAAAGGCGATTTAACGAGGCACCTCGGCGTGAAACATGCACACCCTGTACACAAAAACACGGTAGAATTAATTCAATACATTTTCTCTCTAGTTTTTAAATAATGGCACTAAACAAAGGTTTCAGATTTGTATTAATGGTCTACCTAAGATTTGCAAATAATATTCTGTTTAATAATAAAATGCGTTTTCCACTGTGGTTAAATTACTTGATCCGCCTCTCACTGCACATAAAATGCGTCAAATTTTACCATGATGACGTCATGTCGACAAGTGCATTGCGATCAGTGACTTGTTCATATCTTGCTGTGTGGGATTTAAATAGCGACACAAATGAATGCAGTGGTAAGTTTTGATGTAGTTTATCACTCTTATGCAGCTTAAAACCGCAAATTATTTCATTTTCTGTTGTTGTGAGGAATTGCTATATTTGTGTGATGTCACAGTAGACATTTCCCGTATAAATTAGGCCCCGCCCCCTTTATGCAGCCTTAACAGAGCTGCGAAGTTTGTATAATTTCTTTCTGAAATTTTATCATGATGTAATTAAAGCAGACAATACACATATTTATAAATTAGAGCCATAATACAACAATACTGGAAATTTTCAGCTGGTTCCAATCACCATTAAGGTCACACAATCTTTCATAACATGGACAGTTGCAATATCCCGGGGAAACTTCGACGTAACGTCAACTTAGGTATGTTACGTCACGTTCTAGGAGGAACCGATCTCGCACCAACTTTCTTCAGACATTTTTTTTTTTCAAAATACGCTCCGTCTTTCACTATGAAGCACAAGTAAAAATAAAAGTGGAAAATATATCCTTTTTCTGTTTTGTAGATTATAAGTTTCGTTATAATGAAAATATACGAAAAAAGCCCTGCCACATTCGGGAAATATATTCCACATCCAACAACATTTTGAATATCTTTTATACATGCTATTACTTGTATTAGGACATAACAATTCTCTCTATATTTTATATTTACACAATGCATATCTTCAATAGTAAATCTTTATTAATCTGTATTAAGCGTGAAACAGCATTAATTAACTCTCTGAAATCCTTAAAGAGATTCTTAGAATCATCATCTTAAGTGGATTTACTTTTATCTAATAGTTTAAAAAAAAAAAAAAACAAAATGTTTGATATATATAAACCTGAGAGGAACGGTGGGGTATATATACATTTTTCTAGTGAAATTATAAGAGGAATCTTCATCAAACTTCAATCAAAGAGGTCAGAGGTACCTTTCTTAACAGTATACACGACCTTGGTTACATTAACTTGTGGAATTTGGGATTTTATACCTTTTTTGCAAAGCTATGCATCAAGATTTAATGATTAATGGTTACATTAACTTGTAGAATGTGGGATTTAATATCTTTTTAGCAAAGTTGTGCATCAGGTTTTAATGGTTATTTCATCTGAATAAAAAAAATTAATAAAAATAATATACGGCGTACATCAGTAGATATGAAACATTTATCTGTTTATATTTAAGCAGCAAGCCCATAAGAAGAAAAATTATCATCTTAAATATGTTTCTTTCGCATAGATGCCGCATAATCTGTGAAACTGTGAAATCTGTGAGGCTTCGAA